ATTTAAACGTTGTTCATTCATTGACTGAAATACTGACAATCAATCGGTTAAATTAATATCTACGTATCGAGACGTTCTATCGAATTAAGCGAAACATGCACATACAAAGTATAAATATTTTTATGCATTTCAATAAAGCTTAGCAAGTTTCGGACATTATCGAATGTTGCGTGAGGTACGTGCATTAATTTTAATAATCTATACGAACATTTTTATTCTCTGGCTTCATGAATATTCGTTTTAGTACCACACGTTTTCATCATAACAGTTACAAAGGTCGTTTCGAACCTTTTCGGGGTAACTATTTTACGAGCCCCTAATGGATTAATGCCGGCCCTGTGCCAGCTCAGAGAGCCTATTCCGAAGAGCGTCCTATCCAAGTCCGTCGTAATTTAATGACCTAGTTCTCTGGCACGACTGGTTCTTTTAAACAACATTATCAATCTAATAAAACTGAGTTGCCTTTGACGGCCGATCAATAAATGTATTCGAATGTTTTGGGGAAAATTTTACATCTAAAACAAGCATACCTACACATTGATCAAAAGATTGCTTGCATCTAAATTGTCAGCATTGCTCTAAACACATTTTTAATTCTAATGTTTTACTATTATTAGTTAATCCAAGCCCACAGGGGGATTTCTTAATTATTAGAAGACAAAAGAATTTAAAAAAAATAGACCAAAAGTCCTTTCACCTAAAGCGGAAAAAAGGTTAGCAGATATGTTCTCTATTTTAAATTGTGGAGAAAGCGAAAGATTTAAATTTGTTCAAATACATTCGCCCTCGTAACATGAGTGATCAATTCGAATGAAAACGAGCGTATTCTGCTAACTTCGTCGATATACTCGGAAGTGAGTGCAACACTGCATTTGCAATGAAATTAGCTCTGTCTTTGTCTCTCCTGTCTCGTATACAAGGGCTGATCGAAAAAAACTATTTTTTATACTTAAAATGGGCAGTCAACAAAATCGTCCATTTTAAATAAAACAGATACATCCATAATCTTATATACGTAGATAAACTTTTAAAGTCTAATAAATGTTTAAAGTTTATAACTTTCTTGAGCCCTGCGTTAGGCACTAATCGGTTTGTAAACACCTCTATGGACTGATGCTTAACGAACTTTTGAGATATTCCTTAAACCTTATTTCTTATTCTCATGTTTAAACCCACCATTAGAATTGTTCTCCGATTGTCACATATTGATTTCCGAGTATAATTTTTGCAGAACGTAGAATGTTTCAAGCTTGTTTAAAACGAATTTTTCCTTGAAATCAGTCTCACAAAGTACATCGAAACGAATACAAGTGGGATTTCAATAGAGTGAAAAGTTTTTAAAGAAATCCATACGAAATTAAAAGCGGAACGAGTAGTTTAAATTTGGTTGAAGTATATATGCAGTTCGTCCATAACTATTCGATTGGCAAAGTCAGAAACACTATAAATCGGATTCACTGAGCAACAGAACTCATTAAATACAAGGACCAGTTAAAAAAACATACATGTAACCGAAAATATTGATAGCATAAAATATTCAACCAGTTTGGCGCAATGTAGACACATCATGAGACTTAATAGATTCTGAGCAGTGTCAAGGCGTACACTTGGTTGAATATATTGGACGATATACATATAGCGCAGTTTTACCATATTGGGAAACTTTGATTTCTTAAAATGTTCAGCAAATATGGTTGAGTTCAAAATTGAAAACGCTTGAATAAACCGTGGTCAAAACAAGAATATGATCTAAGATGTGTGATAAAATCGGAATCCGCAGGTGATACGAGAGCTGTTGTTCGAATGAGTCAAAGTTATTAAGTAACTAATAAAATGGCGCTTTCACATATTTGAAACGGATTATGTTATGTAACCTATTTAGAGTAAAGCGCAACTTCTGAATTTCATTAAATCTTTTTTGGTATGAGTTTGGGTTAGTAGCAAATTTACAAGAGTTGTGTCCCAGCAAACCAAATCTCGTAACACATAAATATTATGTAACGATGTCAAAAATAAGAAACAGTTTGCGTAAATATCTTGTCCCAATGCGCCAACTGTGAATTATGCCCGCCTCAAGCCAACTAATATGTGACTAATTTATTACAACTCAATGTTACATAATATTTACGTAACAGTTGTGACTTGTATTTTACAACTCAATGTTACATAATATTTACGAAATTTGTAACCTTCTTTTTACGTAGTCTATTTACAAATAAATCGTAGAATATTTACAAACTCTCAGACAAAATACGTTCTGTCTGAGATTGACCTCAGGTTTACTCAATTGCCCCACACAAAATTTATTTGAGCGACTTGTTTTAAAAATGCTTAAACACCAAACTTTATTGAAATTACTGTTCGACATTTTCTGATAACATTCGCTTTTTATTTACGACCTCCTCGATCTCAGATAAATTGACTTTTTTTGCAAATGACAACTTGGTTCTATGAAAAGGTCTGTTAAAACTGTAGGATTCGCTGGTATACAAAAAATCTGGATATACTCTTTTCGTTTCGATTTCAAAACTATATTGGAGTACCTGGGAATTGCGGCTCCAGGGGGGAGTCATGGGGTTTATGACCCC